TTAGAAATTAAAACCCAAGATTTGAAACATCAATTTGAATACTTTTCGAAGTGAATTTGAAAAACTCATGAATTGAACTCAACTTCATTTTGTTCAAACTTGCATTTGCTGTGATAACCCAAATTGAGGAACATTCCCCATTATTATTACTAATGATATTTTTATTGTTATTATCGTGAAAATTCACTATTGAGGAATACACCTCTAAAAGAAAATGTCCAAGATGATATAATTGAAGATAAAATACAGTGTGAAAAAAGACTTTCAATTCAGAATCTTGAAAGTAAACAAATACAAAAAATTGAAAGACTCATGAGCTGGTGCTTACGATTTATAAGAGATTTTATATCTGGGTTGAAAGTTGAAAGCTTTAAACGCAGGTCACTTTACACACAAATCCTATTTCTATATTTGTTTTTAAAATATACCAAAGTGGAGAATGCTCTCTCACACAAATATGTTCGAAAGAACTGGATATTCTCCCGTAGCCTTTATGCAAAATGGGAAAAACAAAGAGTTGAGTGTTTTTAATGTGTTTCCGCGACCCACCAGTGGGTCGCGACTCATAGTTTGGGAACCACTGCCTTAGACGACTCAAAGCTTTACATTGCTGAGTACAATTCAGATAGGAGAGAGGGAGAGAGATATTTATAAACAGTTTTATTTAGCTTGCCCTGTTTGTTTGTTTCGATCAAAGTTAGTAGTTTTCATGAATCGCTAGTAAATAAATAAAGCATCTATTTATCTAACAGAAACTGTGATAGATTATTCTTTCCAGAACTCCGTAAAATCCACTTCGACTACCTCCATAATGGCCTGCAGCAAGCGTTGCCCCTCTCCGACGATTACTCCGACAACGACGAGCTCGTGAAAGCGATGCTCTTTTCCGGAGGAGGCAACCTGTTGACCTACCGCACGTGGGACATCGTCAAACGACGCCTCAAGAAAGACGCCACCGTCCTGCTGACGAGGAATAACCACAAAGCGACCATAACCCCGGAAAGCGTCAACTTCAAGAAGACCAAATTTCCGACGAACCACTTGCTGTACATCAACGAGACGAGATCCGACGTTAGGAGGACTACGCTGGTCCGGGAATGTAGTCTGTTGCCGGACGTTTCGGTGCTGTTGTTCTCCAACAGAGAAATGAAGATCAAAACGGTATGAACTGGAGGTGCGTCGGTTTCTGTTTCTTGAATGTTTTCGTTTTTCAGGTGGCCGACGACGAAAATCAACTGGAGTTGGTTTTTGAAGGTACCAATATAAAATTTTTATGTGATAAACGGTAAGTACTCGTTTTTTTTTTGGAGTTTTTGGATCCTTTTCAACGACTATTATAGCCTAGTTCACAAGTGCCTTTTAGTTCAAACTTTTTTCTTCCCTCTCCGAGAAATACGAGGGTGGTTTGAAAAGTTTCCGACCTCAACATGAAGATGGCAGCACTAGTAAATAAAATCCAGTCAATTCCGTTATTCATCTGTTGACAGTTACTCACCATAGTTTCAACCATTTTGGAGGCGCAGTTGTTATATAACAGTCGTTTAAGTGAGTTGATGTGAGTGTTTTTATGAAAATGGACAAAATCGAGTATCGAGCTGTCATTAAATATTTGTTTTTGAAAGGCGATACGCCTACGCAAATCAAAGATGAGTTGGATTCTGTGTATGGCGACTCTGCACCATCATTTACCGCAGTGAAATTGTGGGCAGCTAAATTTAAACGTGACCGTAAGAGTTTGGAAGACGATAAACGTTCGGGACGTTCAAAAACTGCAACTATCGACGAAAATATCGCCCAAGCTTATCAAATGGTGCTAGACAACCGGCGAATTGAATTGAAAGAGATAACAGAGGTTATGAACATGTCAAAAGAACGTGTTTGTCGTATATTAAATCAACATTCAGGCATGAGAAACCTCTCCGCGCGTTGGGTGCCGCGGTTGCTCACGTTAGTCGATAAACGTGTTTGAATGAACATTTCCAACGCTCTGTTGGCGCAGATTAGACGCAATAAATCCGAGTTTTGGCGCTGATTTATTACCGTAGATGAAACTTGGACACGCCATTATACGCCCAAAACAAAAATACAGTCTAAACAGTGGACTGCAAAGGGGGAACTGGCTCCAAAAAAAACAAAAAGTGTTTTTCTGCTGGGAAAGTGATGGCAACTGTTTTTTGGGATAGTATTTCATTCGATTGTCT